GATTGTATATTTTCTCACCAATTAAGACGATTGTTCTGTGTGCTTTTGTGCCTTGAAACTTGCTTGTCGATCCATTGTTTATGTGTATTTATAATGTTGATAATTCACAACTTTTTCTCCAGTCAAACTTTCAGTCCTTGTCTTACCCATGTCAACTTATGGTTTCCTCAAATTGTTTTTATTATAATATGAAGGATAATGCTACTTGCATTTGGACTATGTCTTTTCTTTCTTCTTTTTTGCCATACGCTTATCTTCAATTTTTTAATGCTATTTATACAAAACTTTAATCATGTGTGATTAATGCATTTGAACAGCTTATTATACGCTCAAAATCTGTTTTAACAGACTCTCGTTTATATTTCACTCTTGCTATAATTAGATGTGTTTTATGTAGGGTGATAAACGAACCAGAGACTTTTGGTTCGGCTCGTGAAGGTCTGAGCTTACATGCCTAAAATTGGTTGTTGGAATCAAGCTCGGACTTGTATAAAAGCTCGTTTAATAAAAAGGTCTCAATCTTCAATTCAAAAGTTCGGCCTTAGAACCTCTTAGACTGGCCTAGTATATTTATTTTTATTTTTATTCTATATTTTTATACTACTAGTAATATTCTTTTCTCTCTCCTCAATCTATTTCACCTCATTTTATTGATTAAATAGACTTTTTGAATGATTTTGTTTTATATTATGATGTTTCGATATACATTGAATTTATGAATTTTATGGAATTACTAGTGCTGTTGATGGTATATTCTATTTGGATAAATTTTTGTTGTCTTATTTTTTATTTTAGTTTTGAAAATATTCCAATCAGTTCATTGCTTCGTAACTAATCCGATTTGGGGTGGGTCCAGTTGTCTTTTTTTTTTTAACATGCTAAATCAGACTTTGTAAACAAGGCAGGCCACAAACCGATAATTATATTCATAACAGATAACAAGTTTGGTCAGGCTGACACATTCAAACACAAGCTTAACATTTTAAGACCAAAGCTTGGCTCGACTCTCTATTTTACGTTAGGGTCATTAACATTATTACTGTGATATGAATGCAACAATTATATATAATTCTTTGACCGAATAGACTAACAATGTGAAAGCGGAATAAGTGTAATTACTAATTAATCTTATTTTTTTTAAGAATTAGCATGTTTCATGTTTGTTGACAATTTTATTTACGAAATATAACAATTGGAACTTAGCTAGTATTATATTTTCAGCAATAGGCTATTGTTAACATTATTATACCTTAAAAAATGATCAAAGTGTGCACTTCTTAATATAAACTCACAATATGAAAGGGGATTGTTTATGTGAATCTTTTTTAATTATTTGCAATTGGCTAGTATTTTATATGCGATAAAATGCTGAACTGGTTTTCTTTTTGTTGTTCTTATTTACAAGAAAAAGTCCTCGTTGATTTGCTGAGTATACCATGATCAAATGCAGTTTACAGGTTCTTAACTCGTCTGAATGCAGAATATTTCCGTTTTTCCGCGTGACAAAATTAATTTATGCTTCTTATATTCAAATAATATATATATATATATATATATATATATATGAAAAATAATTTGTCCTTTTAAAATACATAAGTTGTCCATTTACCCATTTGTAACTATGTACTACGGGGAATACATAATTATAATATTAAAGTTATAATTTTTTCTCTCTCTTCATAAAATGTCGGCTGACGTGGAAAGTGAAAAAAAATATTACAACTTTAATATTTTTGGAGTACATAATTATATGGGGGTGAAAGAATATAACTTAGGTTCTTTAAAAGTACAAAACATTTTCATATATATATATATATACACTTTAATATTTCTACATAAGTTATCTACATTCGCTCCCAAAATGACGTTATTTTAGGTTGAAAAATAAAAAAATATATAATAAAATAGACTATAATAACCCGGAAATAATTATAATTACAAAAATACCTTAATTTCTGTCTCAAAATGATGTAATTTTAGGCTCAATGTAAATAAGTTATCTACATTGTAAAAAAAGTGAACATATATATATATATATATACATGATCGTTGCCTATTCGCACTTTTCACTTTTTAGATTTTGTGATATTTTCTATAAAAATAAAAATTAAACTTAAAAAATAAAAATAAAAAATTCAATTTATTCTCACTTCTAAATAAACTCTTCGGTATATGAAGGGTGATTGATTATTGTGCTCAGGGGTGTAAATAGTCTAGGTTAGGCTAGACTTTGACTTAAATAGACCAGGTCTGCATAAAGTACTGGGTTTGGCCTTGCCTGTTAGCCTATGTAGACCCACAATTACAAGTCTAGCTTGACCTATATTTAAAAAATAAAAGCATTGACTTAGGCTTGTTAATCTGTTTAAGTCTATTAAACATTTAACAATTAAGAGAATAACTAAAATAATATTAGTCAATTATTCAAAAATATTAAAATAATAATTTTATTTATTTTATTTAAAATAAATAATATGATATATGCCGACCTGTAGATTTACAGGCCTGACATGTACAAAAAAGCCTATTATCTGTTTTCTAAATACATTTTTTTAAAAGCCTATATCTGTTCTATTTTACTATTTGTAATAGGTCAAGTTTGACCTAATATAAGCTAGACCGTAGGCCCCTGTAAGCCGACGTAGTCCATTTACACCCCCTAATTGTGCTCCTATATTTAAATTTTTTTCCACTTTACCCCTTTTTTAAACTATGTATTAATTTCAATCTTTTATCATAATTATGTAACAATTTGTCCCAATTTGACCACTAGTTACTCGAGTAACTGCACCATATTACTGGAGTAACTCAGACAAGTTGACAACTCAAATTTGCATCCATAAATATTTTTAATTCAAACCAAGTTCTAATGTCTTATACAAGATTTATTCGGTTGCCTCGTCAAATTCAAATAATAATAAATAAAAAAGTTGAAAACACACAAAAAAATGTTCTATCAGATTGCTTGTCTTTATAAATGAACTTGTGATGAGTGTTTGTAAGTCTTTTACAATTGAGGACAATCTCCATTTAATTTAAGTTGTCAAAACAATTGAGGATAATCTTCACATATTTGGACTTCATGTATGTGTGCAAGGGTTCAAACAATTGCGGACAGTTCCATTCAAGCTCTTTATAAACTAAGTTTTGTGTACATATTTATGTTTTATGTTGCATTGCTTTTAAACATTTATGTTCATATACTTTGGCATTCTCGAAACCCATTAAAGAACAGTGGCAGAGTCACATTGGGGCGCTAGTTTTCAAAAAAATTAGAATTTGGCATGGATAGAGGTTAAATTTGGTGACTATGCAAAATAGATAAAAGGATTGCACAAGTTAAAATTTTAGTGGGTGAATTTTTGACACGAGCTAATATTTTTTGCTTGCTCCGCAATAAGCATTTTTTTTTGAAAAGTTGTTAAGCACCATAAAAATTAAAAGATAAAGAAAGTAATCAATGTATTAAAATGCCAATTGTCTCCCGTATATGCATGTTGCCAGACTATTATTTAACTAAAATTATATATGCGTGTGTAGAAATCAGAATAATATGTAACACCAGAACAACGTTCCTTTGGTAGTATTTGGTGGAGAGTAGTGTGAACTATGAAGTATGAACTATTTGAAGTCAAGGAGCGCAAAACGCTTGTGTGTGTGTGACTGTGTGGGATATAGTTGGTCAATGACTGACTTTCAAGGTCCCCGTGCAGCAGTCTTATTTGACAAGCGACTTTAATCCTTGCTTTTTCATTCCAACCAGCAAACACTGGATCTCTCACCAACCGCATCTTTAGTTTGACACAATGTTTTCTTATAAAATGATAATGGGTTTTGCATTTGTTATACAATAAATTTTTCTACACACACAACATTTTGTGGGGCTCACACTTTTTGAAAAAAAAAAGAAAAAAAAAAAACTACGGCACGCAAAACAAATCTCTATAACATTACACAATCACTTTTCCTACAACATAACTCTTATAAAACCCAATGATAATTTACCATAACTTACATAAATTGTATATATTTTATTTTGATCTATAATTACATTTTTATAATAACAAAAAGTTAAATAAATAATTTCAATGGAATTAAACTACTTTGTTGCTAATATAATGCATTTATTCTTCGTGATTTGACCAATAATCAAACTTGAGCCTACAAATTAATTCAGTTGGTGAAATCATTTGTAACTAGTTGCAAGCTTGATCCCTTGAACCAGTGGCGGATCCAGAAAAGTTTTTTATGTCCGCACATTCTTTGCAATCAATCCTCTCTTTTTATAAAAATGAAAAAGAAAATAAAGGATAAAGAGAGCATGAGAATGAGTACGTGACAAGGGAGAAAGAATAAGTTTTCTCTTTAATCAATTTGCGTTGCTACGTTATTTTAATCATCTCCGTACGTTACTATGTTGCTAACTAATATAAGAATAAATATTTTTTTGGTCCCTAACAAAAAATTCGGTTCACACTTTAGTCTATTATAAAAAAAAATAGCCACCTTATCCATATGAAATTCAAAATGGACCCATTTTGGTCTTTTTGAAGGACTAATATAGGTCTTTTTTGAATTTATGAGGGACCACGATTTTAATTAAATATATCCACTTTAAAATTTTTAGGGACCTCAAGACTAATATTTTTTGTAAGGGACTAAAATGGGGGACTATGTTTTTTGTTAGGGACTTAAAAAGGTATTTACTCTTAATATATATATATATATATATATATATATATATATATATATATATTGAACCAAGAGACAAATAACCACCAACAACCAAGAAAAAAAAACTGAAGTAAATTTTTTTATGACCGCACTTGCGGGCATTTTCATTTTCCCGCAAGTGGGTCCGCCATTACCTTGAACCCACAAAATGATTCTTATGAAACAAATATGAAATATCCAGTACTTTTATCTTTCAAAATTACAAAATGATCCTTCTCCTTCTCTTTTTTTTTTTGATAAAAAAGGAGGGCCAAGCCCATAAACAACTAAACAACCAGATTATGCATGTTCAAGCACATATGCTCCATTGACAAATTGGAGCTCAAATCTAACCAAGAAGGTAAAATATTAACATGGGGAGAGGAGTAAAACATCAACTCTTCACCCTTAAGACTAAAGCCTAATTTAGCTAAGAAATCAGCAGAAACATTAAATTCTCTTGGGATAAATTCCAGCTGAAGATGATCTATCTCCTTGGCAGCTTTTCTGATCTTGCAAATTAAGGAAGAAAACCCACAAAACTCAGCATCCTCCTTTAAACAAATCAGGGCCTCTTTGCTATCACAACCAATCCAAACCTTATTGAACTTCAAGTCACCTGCCATCTTGAGACCATGGTATAAGCCCCATAACTCAGCTCCCAACACTGTACAAATACCTATATTAAAAGAAAAACCACTTATCCACTTATCCACTAGAGGAACAGATGAAACCTCCACAAGCTCCTATACTAGAAGTCAATTTGTAAGCACCATCAACATAAATTCTGGTTTGATATTGATCCGTCAGTTGCCCACTACCACCAGAATTTTGGTAATTTTCTGGACCTGAGCAAGGAGGTCCAGGGATGCTACATCTTTTCATATCAGCCAAATAAATCAGAATTGCATGGATAGGATCTTGAGGCATTTCAAAAAAATCCTCATGGACAGTAGAATTTCTCCACTGCCATAGAAACTAACAAGTCACAAAGAAAATCTCCTTCCAAGAGTGCCATAGCGTACTAGAAAAAGATTGAAATAGATTGAGTTTAAATCAATCTACTCCTTCAACATTTAGGAAGTCGATTGGTATGTTACCTGAGAACCATATCTCCCAGACTTGTCTAGCCACCCTGCAGTCTCTCAATGTATGCAAAACTGTTTCTTGATCAGCATAGCAAGTGGGACAAAGTAAATCCCCCTCATTCCACTGTCCTGTCATACTTCTAACAGGAAGTTTATTTAGGCGGGCAAGCCAGATGAATACTGCAATCCTATAAGGTCCCCTACATTTCCAAATAGCTGTCCAAACTCTATCCTTTCCAACATTTACTTCAGTAAGATGACAGTATGCATTCTTCACAAAGGATTTGCTTGGGCTACTCCATTTCCACTTTTAAAAATGGGACATGGAGACTGGTTCATTTTTTAACAGGTTGATAGCGGAGTGGTCGGACCGTCCACTTTGTCACCTCTATCTAGAAAAATGGTAATTAGGTGTGATATTTTTTGTCCAATTTTTTTAAAAAAAATGTACTAGTATAACGGATTACTAAAAATATTTTCATAAAAATCTAACTCTATTTGCATGCTCTACCCTAATGTGTTAGTGGTTTAAGATCAAGAATCTCTGCATATACACAACGCTTTTTTGTTAACGGATCATATATGTATCCACTATAAACAAAATACATTCTTATTTACTCATTTTAAATATAAGTCACCTAATAATAATTATCTTTATATATATATTATCATTTAGTTATAACTTCTTCTCCAATTTAAGTGTCACCTCGCACATTTGTGGAGTGGTGTGCTTTCATCAAACATCATTCATGTTATTTTATCTTGGTCCAAATATAAAGTATTTAAAGTACATAAAAAGTGGGAAGGCCAAGAGAGTAATTTCGACAAAGCCAAGGCATATTCGTCTCTTGTTTGTTTGGGTTCTCTACTTCCCGAGTCTCTGCTTTTGTTTTTCTTCTTCTTTTCAGGTTTGGTAGGCGGCACCTCCAAATCAGACTCTTCCCCTTTTGTTCTTGTCTTTCCAAATCCTAATTCGTCAATTAATCAGAATCACCTTAACCTCAATTTCCCCTAAATACACAAAACCGGAACCTTACTTGACCTCTGCATTTTTTTAAAAACTTAATATAGAACAATTCTTTATTAACTATTTTATCATTTATATATTCTCACTTCTAAAAAAATTTCTTTTGCATATAATAGTATGCACCGATGATTAGCTCTGCACTCAATCATTTCCTTCCTCTAGAGAAATATAAAATTATTATTGACGATATCAAGTTCATATAATTAAGTAGTTATAACTTCGTTTTCATTTTATTAATAAAGAATTAAATATTATAATTTTTTTTATCACAAATATATATACTTTGCATTGTATGTTTGGTGTGCTTTTAATGGCTATCCAATGATGAGTTCCTCGTGGTTGAAGGTCTCCGACACACACTTCGAAATGCTTTTGTCCTTATAGAATCTTCAAATTGAGATCCCATTTATACAACAACAAAGCCAGGCCCTTGTCCAAACGTAAAACACATCTAATTATAGCAATAGTGAAATATAAACGTGTAAAACAGATTTTGTGTGTATAATAAGCTGTACAAATGCATTAATTGCACATGATTTACGTTTTGTATAAATAGCATTAAAAATTAGAAGATGAATGTATACCAAAAAAAGAAAAGAAAAGACATGGTCCAAAATGCAATACAAGTAGCATCATCCTTCATATTATAATCAAAACAATTTGAGGAACCATAAGTTGACTTGGGTAAGACAAGGGCTGGAAGTTTGACTGGAGAAAAAGTTGAGAATTATCAACATTATAAATACACATAAACGATGGACAGGCAAGTTGCAAGGTACAAAAGCACACAGAACAATCATCCTGGTTGGAAGTGCCTAAGATTGAGAGAGGTCAGAAAATATACAATCTTACAAAATGGTTTCATGTTTTAATTTTCTTGCACTGAACTTTAGCAACATGGCAAAGCGTCTCGTTTGGTGGACTGATAAGCCTCTACCTCAACTTCAGCCTCAGGCATCCAATTCTCGTAAGTGAAAACCCTTTTCCTTCTTTCACAGAATTTCAGTCTTTGTTGGTTTTATGTCTCAAAATCATACACTATTTCCCCGTTATAAGAATTATTTGCCAAAATCCTTGAATATCATTTTCAAAGTTCATTCGATTTTTATTCGTTTGAAAGCATATGTTTGAGTATAAAACTATAAATCAAATTTAATTTTATTTCAAGAAAATATATCCAAAATCCTGAATTAAGTACTTATCGGAAGTATACAACAGAGTATACTTTCTACAAATCAGATTTGGCGCATGCATCTGAATTTGGGTAAATTATTGGGTAATTCATTCCTTCCTGCTAATTAAGCTATCCTATTCATTTTAATTAGATATTCATATATATCTTTATTTGGTATTTTAACACACATAGATTAAAATACCTAATACTCAGTCTCAGTCATTGATACATATGAGAAATGCATGGGTGCCTAGATTAAATGTCATAATTTAGAAAAAAAACGAGAATGAAGGTGAAAAATCAACAGAGCATGCATAAGGAGCGTTATGCAAATATTCTGAATTTAATTATAAATTGAAAAGTCTGTTTTTGTTCCTTCGCAGCAGCTTTAGAAATTCGACAACGAGACCATCCAAGGGGTCACAACTATTGATAGGAATATGCAGCAAAGTCAATCATAATTACCACTCGATCCCTGGGATCTGTTACTATATATCTCTTCAGATGTGATATATACTTATACGATAGTTTTAGGTTTTAGTAATCAAATTGAATTGTATATATTTGGCAGAAAGTTTACGTCATCAATTATTGAAGTTCAAAGTTGTATATTGTTTTTTTTCTTTTGCTTTTGGTGCTTAAAAGTTGTAATCAAATTGTTGTAGCAGTAACAACTATTGTGTAAAATTGTTTTAGTAATAGTTTTCTTTAAGGCATGTTCTTCTTTCTCCAGCAGGAACAACGACTGAGATAAGTACTACTGTGTAAAATTCTGTAGTGACTCCATATATGAGTATAATTGAATTGTAGTTTCAGTTGAGTGGCCATTTAAACTCAAACAAGAACAATTACTCATAGTGCCCGGCTAGTCCTGCGTAAAATTTCACTCATATAAATCACAATTTTTATCAAAATAAAGTCATTGAAAGTTACAAATCATTGAAAAATTCAAGTCTTCAAAGTTCAAACTAAAACAAGTCTTAAAACTCATGAAGAGTAAAAATAGATTAATAGATAATAAAAAATTAAAACAAAATAGTCTGCTATCAATAACATCTAAGATTTCAACTCACCCTCTTTTGAAAATAATAAATACAAAATACATTGACTCAGTTTAGATTGAATCGGTTTTCACCAACTAAATCAAAAACTGATCCAATTCAATTAAAATATACGGCTTTTTTATTTTTGGTTATTTTGGTTATCGATTTTTTTGATTCGGCCACGGTTTGAATCGATTGATGAATATCCCTAGCTTTTGCTGCAGAAAAAAACTTATTTGTCACACTCATATAAAAGTGAGTAGGTCCCACTAATATTTTCTCTCTCTTCTCTTCAGAATGAGACCCGCTCACTTTTATGTAAATATGGCTGAAAAAATATTTCTTCATCAAAAATAAAATTATTTTTCTCTAAATTTAATTTACATCCCCGATTGAAAAATGTTTCAAAACTTATATAATTGATTGAATTTGATTGAGCTTGAACTAAAAATCTCATTAATTCACTGTCATGATATGTGGCAAATACCAAAACTCAAAGGTCTTTCTCAAAAGTGCTTCTCCAACCATTGAACTTTCAATCTTTTTTATATATATTCATCGATTATCCAACTAATTCGGTATTTTGATTTAAGCACGGTTGGAACTATTATAAGGGGTGACGACCATTTTCTCTATTCGTAGGACTGAAGAGATCTCTCTTAAAGGGAATAAGTTCATTATCACTGTAACACCTCGTATATATCCGGTAATGTTATCATATCATCGTATTAAGCTGCGCTTAAATAAAAATGCGGAATATCTTTTTCTTTTCAATTATGATGTCATTATCATTACCAACTTCCTTATTAATCAATTAATAAAACATCGTCTGTATGTAAATTGCAAAACACAGCTAACTGAAATACCTCATTACATTAAAAACATAAGTATGTCTCTAGTCACGGAACTACAACACGTAGACCGAACAACTATCAGATTATACAACTCAACATAACAGTGCTAACAGCCAAGTGGCATGGACAAACCCCATGCTCACCCAAAAAGGAAACAAAGCCCAACATCAGTCTCAACATCAACAACATACTAAAAGCAAGCTAAAAACATAAGCATCAGCAGATATATCCAGCATCCAACGTATCAGCAAAATAAACAGCAAACTCATCAACTAAGCTCCGGCCTCCTGCCGCTAGAGGCATCAGCCCCCATACTACCTGAACCTGAAATAAGTGTCCCCAAATGTGGGGTGAGATCTCTAAACAAGAAATCTCAGTAAGACTAGGGGTCCTCAAGGATCTTCCACCCCAAGCTCACTTAGATGTGCAATATAAGTTCCAAAATAGTTCAACAATATTATTTCCAAAATAGTGCAATGCAGCAGAATATCATGTCATGTGTGTCAATACTATAATCTACTGGCCAAAGAATGTAGGAATACGTCTATTACCCACACATAATAGTACAAGGAACATCGCTTGCACCTCACCCCAGTCTCACCATCTTGTATGTACCACATACTCAAGCTTACCATATAGGTGGAACACCACATGCATATCATAAATCCATTGCACATATCAGCTCAAAAGAGTTTCATTATATCAAAGCATATAACACAACATGCATATAACCATTCCCCCGTGGGGTATGGTGGAACTACACAATGACTAAATCGAGGACACAAAAGCTTACCTCTAAAGCTAACTATCCGAGCCAAGAGTCCAACCAATGCTCACAGCCCAAACACAGCAGAATCACAATCTGATATGGACCAATAATATATCAATAAACATGCACTACAAGCATACATCACAAAGACAACGCCTTCTCTTACGTTTTACGTCTTTAGGCTCCTCACAAAGCCACAAGTCCTTAATCCATTGATTCTGACTTACGTTAATTATCTCAGAAGTTCAACTTCCTCAAACTAGAGTCCA